AGAGAGAGAGAGAGAGAGAGAGAGAGAGAGAGAGAGAGAGAGAGAGAGAGGAGATATTTTTTTCTTGGGATACCGTTGCGCTTTGGGACATCAATTAGGCGAATGTTACTCGTTGTTATGAAACATTTATTTATTATCGCGCTCAGAGGAGCGACTAATTCATTTTGCCTACGACGAAATAACCATAAAACATTCGTAACGTCCCGTCTCGAAAGTAATTTGCACCCACGAGCCTATTTTAGAGTGAATCGATTCTCCGTCGAGTCAGCCCGTCGACTTTTCCGTCCGATCTTTCGTAACCTTTTGAAATCCTTGGACTGCGCGAATAACGAGCTTGTACCTAGCATGCCGCATGTGCCTCAAGAAGGCCGTAGCTTCCTCAGATGTAGAGATTTTTGCTTGATATCTTCCTCGTTAGCGTATTAGGAAGGGCGTGCACGAATAGAAGCAGATGGAATCGCGATGAGTCCCGCGATGAGGTATATGTCCCGGTTTCGCGTATGAGAAAACTCGTGACTCGAAATGACGTGGCCCGGTTGGTTCCTCCTCTCTCTTGCTCACACGCTCTTTCTCCCTCTTTCTCTCTTCACGGAGACGCTGTTTACCGTCCGTACATACGACGCCTCCGCGCTCGATGATGTCGCTCCTTGCGCAACGGCCGTTTGCGTTTCGCATGATTCACACACGAACCGGCGTCGGCGTCATCGATGTCGGTTTCTCGAAACGAGGTCGCGCGGTGATTGTCACTGGACGGATCCGTCGATGATTCTCCTGCTGATGCATTCCTAGCGACGATCGGCTTGAAATAGTGGAATAGGCGCTCGGCAGAGGCTTGAGAAAGGTTCGTGTAGAGCAACAGCTAACCTACTTGAAATTCAAAAGTGAATATCGCTTTTTCGAGGCTGCCGCCGGATGAAGGGGAGCTCTGTTGTGCTTTCTGATACTCACGAAAGTCGCGGCTTAGCTTCGTCATTTATTACGGTGATTAATGTGTCGCTTGTGTATCGCGGGCCACGTAGGCTCTTGCTCGGAAGTGCTCGGAAGGGGACTGTATAAATTGCAGACCGAACACGCCTTGATGTTCTCCCGTTTAATTCTCGATGAATTATATTTACGTCTGAGAGCGAAATTCGCTAAGCTCACGAAGGCTATTGAATTAAGCGCTCGATGAATATTCCTCGATATTTCTCTTGTATTCTTAATTGATATACGGATGCGTTGAGCTTTGTCAAGAGAAAACTTTTAACCCTTCAGTATTAATACGTCCGGGCATACACTTCATGAAGCATATATTGATTGCGTTGAAAATTTCACGAGATGGGAATGACAAAAAATTCTCATTAACGTGTAATATTAAAGTTTAAATATCTATCGGCTTTCTTACAATAACATCACGTTTTCTCGATACTTGTACAGTATCGCCATAGATTGAAAATCGTTATCGAATATTACAATCCTTTGCTCTCTAAATTTCGTGGAGTGAAATTTCGTTCAGCACGAGTGAAAAGGTCGAAATCGCAAAAGGGAACGTTTTACTTGAGCTTAGAGTGAATTCTAACTCCATGTGAGCGAATATTTCGATCGATTAGATTAAATATGTCCTTCTAACGGTGGAGTACATAAGATTCACTCTTTAATTCCGAGTAGAAATATTCACTGGCCGATTCAGAGTAGAGAATTCATCTTCTGTAAAAGGTGTAAAAAATCATTCAAACTCAGCTGTCATCCTGTTTCTCGAGTGAAATTTTACTCCGAAGCATTAGGAAAGCATTCTGACCCTTCTCGTAAAACGTACTAAATTAATTTCATCTCGGTATACGCTGGCTATCAGTAACCTGGCCGATAACTGCAACGATCGATCATAAGAGTGCGGTGCGCCGCAGCAAGAGCGAGCATATGGAAAGGACAGCGACGCCAGGAATGACTCAGGCCTCCCCTCGCGCCGCTGCCATCTCGATTCCACGTATTGCATCTGCATGTTAAGTTAGATTGACTCCGAGAGAACTGAACCGTGAGCCACTCGAATATACGCGCCGGTCTTCGCCGTCTCTTGCCTCCTCTCTTCCTTCGCGATATACACACCCGTCCGAGCGTACACACTCTCGCACTGCACGCAAATGCGTACGCCAATTGTATTTGCATATTTCAAATTATTTCGAGGAAGATGCTAAGTGGAGCATCGCCTCCGCGCAAATGGAGCGATCCTCCGTTTATCTACGTGGCTTCGTCTTTTTTTTCTCCTTTTCTCTCTCTCTCTCTCTCTCTCTCTCTCTCTCTCTCTCTCTCTCTCTCTCTCTGCTGTCCTCTCTCCCTCTCTCGTGCTCTGCCTCCCTCTCGGGCGCAACGATGCCGCGTAATCGATACCACAAATGGAGCCCTTCGCATATCTACGTGAGAAATTAACCGCGCTGATCGCCCACGCGAGAGCGAACCAAGAAACGAACGAACCAAAAGAGCATTCTTCTGCGCCTACGTAGTGGACTCTCGAAATCATACTAGCGTCATTTAAATATTTGCTCGCCGCGCGCATGCTTTGCCCTGCGAATTCTATTTCGCAGAATCCCGAAGCTCGCCGGGAACTTTCGCACGGAGGGAAGCTTTCGCCATCTATAAACGTCGAGAAAATTTTGCTCGACTGTCGCCGCGCGCTCACGCGCATCCTTCCGCGTTTATTTGCGTTTTTCGCATCTCCGCCGCGCGTTCTCTCCGACGAAAATAAATATAAAAATTACGTGACGGGGCCCCGATGGGCGCGCTCACGGGTGAGTTTATATTTGCGAATTTTCACGCTCGACGGCCGAAGTCGTTATGAAGTTGTTTGCGCGCAGAGCCCTCGTCAAGTAGCGGGGCACGTCTACCGGCGCACGGTCTTGAGAAAACGATGAAGCGGGACTTGACGACGATGAAGGAACGAGAGAAGACGAGAGAGAGAGAGAGAGAGAGAGAAAGAGAGAGGAAAAAAGAAAAAGAGAGGATACGTGGTATCGGTTCCTTTTCGCCCGCGGGATTCGGCGGATTGCGTCTGCGGGAAAAAGTTACGGGAAATACTCACGGCGTGATCCCTGAGATGGAAACTTGCTCGCTCGCGTGCACGGATATAAAAGAAACTTTCCTTTCACGAAAAAATAATGCGCATTTCTCGCTCTCTCTTTCTCTCTCTTTTTTCTCCCTTTCGCACGAGCGCGCGGTGCCTTTTATGTTGCACACGTCTGCATATTCTGCAACGTCCCGTTATTGTCCTGAATACGCGCAAAGGATATTTCCACGAAGTTGAGTATTTCTTTCAAACGATGATACATAACCGCGAACTCGGATGACTCGGCCGATTCTCCGTCACTATTAGCATCCGCCCGTGTCATCTAGCTCGTCTAGACAACGCCGGCGTTGTCGCGCGAAACCGCGAAGCACGTCACGATCGTCGTCTTGCTGCGCGATTCCATCTGTATCTTCGTGTCCCCCGGCGCGCAAACAAGAGGCAGACACTCGTCGGGAGGGACGTCGCGGGCGAAGAATGCGGATACGCGTTGTTTTCTTGGCGCGTGTCTCCATGAGTCGCGTAACCGTAGCCATTATTAATAGTCGCGACGCGGAGAGGTAGAAATGATCGATATGTTGGCGCCAATGGAAACAATCTTTATTGCGACCAAGCACACGGTAATTTCATTCCGCAACGGTCGCTTGGTAAAACCATTCCGCGCGTCATTTAACGCCGCGGCGGCCTCTTTGGCGCGGTAATATCTGTTTGTAAATTAACACACGACGCTGGGCCAAGTCGCCTGCTGGACATTTCTGTACTTGGAGCACACGTCCACGCTGCTGTGGCGAAACGGCAATTGTATGATGTTGAAGTCGTAGTCCGTGTTGACGAGAATCGCGTTCACCGAGGGTAGGTGCAACTTGTTGACGATATCGTCGCCTTGGAGCGCGCCGGTCACCGGATTCATGTAGGAGCAACGGGTCTTCGCCAACACGCAGGCGGTGGTGTTAACGTACAATTGCGCGAGTTGCATGTCCGTGCTGTTGAATCTGGGAATCATTCCCATGGCCTCGCGAACGCACTCCCTGAGCTGCGGAAAGTATTCGTCAACGAGTTGCTCTCGCCGTTGTTTGTGCTCTTATAGTAGATCTTATGGTGCGGCCGGTTAGGTGTAATGTATCGCTTTAATGTATCGTGAGACTGTACAAAACATTGAGACTGTACAAACATATAATACAGTACGATTACGAAGTACGCGACCATCACGCGTTAGGTATCCTTATATTCGCGATAATCGTAATCTCAATGAGGCGCGTGCGGAGATGCCATCGGTGCATTCCGAACCAAGTATAGAGAGCCGCGGTCTCGAGAGAATACAGAGATTGCCTGCGAAGATATATAGGTTTGGGACGAACCGTGATTACGGTTCAATTGGTCTCTTTAATTACGCAAACGTAGTTGTTCGGCACTCGAACTTTGCTGAATACGAAAGATCTCTCCCGCTCGATTCGCGACGCCACTCCTCGCAGCAGCCGCCTTAATCCGCTCCTGACGTCTATGTCCTAGATAATATATATACAATATATATACAATATATATACAATATGTTCTTCGTTAACTATGTACAACACTTAGGCCGGATGTCATGCATTAACTATAGCTGGCCAGTGATAGTCGCATAGGAAGGTTTCGAAATCATTAGTAAACAGCTTTAGAAGTAAATTCTGTGTGTAGGTGCCACGATACAGACAAAAAGCCAATATAAAACGCTGGCAAATGTGAGTGTAAAACGGCTGTCTCGCGAACAGAGCGACGAGACAATAGTGTTCAATAAAGACGCGTTGTATTAAAGGCAGTAAAGCTCAGAGAGGCAATCGTAGCGTTTCGAGTAGCGTATATCGACTATTGGTTCAAAGTTCAGTCTTACCAGTCTGTCCTTATTGACTTGGCGAACGCATTCTAGGAACGTGCAGTATATTATCGTAGGACTCACTCGCGGGTTCGGCGCGATAGTCGTCGCGTTCTAGATGAAGCGAAATCGAGGACATGAGAACAAACACATATATGCACATACACATACATGTATATATGCATACAAAAAAGGTAAATTTGCGCGGAAACATAGAGAGAAATATTAAAATGAATAAAAAATTATTGGCTGTCACACGTACTCGCAGATAAGACTGGCAATGACCGTAGCTGGTGTTGTTGAGATAAGTGTTGGCGCACGCGGACATCGCTATCAACATAGGGTAGCCCTGCGGTAGGATGCTCGTGCGATAGAAGCAACCGTAGCAAGCGTCACGTAGCGTCGTATTAGCTTGCGAGTTATTGCACAACTGATTCAGCAAATCGGGTATCTTCACTCTGAAAGGGGAAGCCACGTCGTTACACAACGCGGGGAACGGGCGCGCCGTCGTCAAAAAAATAGAAAAGAAAAAAGCTCCACTTTTCGCGCATAAGAATAATAATGATAGACGATCGGGATGTACTGTTTGAGCGCGGCGAAAGATCCGAGAAACTTTCCCAGGCTCTCCTGCATCAGGGAGACGACGTGGCGCACGTCCGAGATCGAGAACAGTATTAAAATCACGACCGCCGTCGCTTTCCTCATCGTTGCGCGAGCTCGTTGAGTCACCTGCTTCCGAATCGCATCGCACCGCTGCCTTTATACCGATGTGTGAATCTGATAAAGCGCACAGCAGGGATGTATTCGTTCACTTGGGAAACAAAACGCAGAATCTAATTCGTGTGTGCACGGTCGCATTCGCATAAGTATCTAACACTGAGATCGGTCATCTGTGTCGGCACAAACTAAGAATCGCGTCCATACGCCAACGTCGTACGTTGAAGCTGATTTCGTGTACGCATTTCTCCTTCCAACTTGTAGACCACAAGGTAGCCGAGCGAAGTGCGATTTGCTAATCCCATTGCAGGAATTTGCCAACGGAGAAAATCTGCGCAACTCGTGTCCGATTTCACCAGCGTCGGTTAACTGCGACCCCCGACTTACTGCTCTTTATCTCTCGTTAATTCCGGCTCTAAGGTGGAAGTTAACCACCGGTGAAACCAGTCTTTACCCGTTCCTCGGATAATCCGTGTCTCCTTTTTTCCCCTCGTTTTTTTCTCCGCCGTACGTGCTCGGTCGCTCTTGCGGCCCTGGTCGCGGTGAAGTTGCAGCTAAAGCGTAACGATTCCCATTACCTGCGACCTCGTGTATGAGGCCGTGACACGCGGTTGATCGTCGTTGTCTCGTGAAAATGGACCGTGAATAGGAGATCTGGGACGGACGGCTGAATCCCGCGATCGACCACGTCGGCGCGATACGCCGGACCGAAACGCGGCCGGTCGCATTATCGCTAAAAGCGCGGAATGCATTCACAACGTGTCGCGCAGTCATCGGGCCGCGGCGCGCTGCATTCTTCAGCGACACGCGACATAGCGTGCGCGCGGACGCTCGGCCCGTTTATTTATTTTCCGCTCGGAGCCTCTCTCGCGTCCACGAAGCCGAAAATCCCCTTTTCCCAGCGACAGCTTCCGCCGGAAGTGGGAAGGTCAGCTATGTCGGCCACGGTCAAAAATACGCACGGCACTTGAGCGACATTGTTACGATGCTCGTGTTGTGTGTAGCGCGACGGACGATAATATTTCTTAATTAGCCGGTACATTCAGTGCCGCATCCGTAGCTTTCAGAGGGACGGCAGGGCACCGCACCCACTCGGATGTTCTTACGCGTTCGATCCGCACTCTTTCGCTCTCTCTCTCTCTCTCTCTCGCGGCCGGAAATATTCGCAATTTGAGTTGGCTCATAAGCACAGCGCACGCGAAAACGACTGAATCGAGATGACGTGTGCGTATCCGGATAAAAGGCGCGAAAGTTTCTCCATTCCGTTGCTATCGCGCTGGCTTTTAATCAGACACCGTTGGCCATGCCATTTAGGCAGAAAACGTCACGAAATCAGCGCGCGCTTAACACGTTGGCCGCGACGAAAATGAAAAGGCAAACGGCATGTCGTCGGGTGCTCTCTAATTTCGGGACCCACGTGGAAAAGTGGGCCATCGTGTGTGTGCGAGAGACGACACACGCGTCGCGGTTATTTGTGTGCCAGACAGGCGCGGGGGGACAACGGGTGAGGACTGAAAATGTACCGGGAAGAGGGAGAAGAGAGATAGAGGCAGAGAGAGAGAGAGAGAGAGAGGACGAGCGGGAAAGCGGTGCAACCCCGACGACCAGAATTAGAATGACTCATGGGATTATTTGGGTTTATGTAATCCGAGAAATTCGGCGCGGCCGCCGCGACGTCGGTGACGTACTCTCTCTCGGTGTCACTGCGTCACCTCGGTTCAACACCGGGCCCGTCGAGGATCGTGGTATCATATTGCATCTTTGGTAGCGCGCGTATACCCTCGTGATTACGCTCAGAATAGATTCGGCGACAGTCGCCGCGCCGGTCGCGGCAGGATAAGACGACGGCTGTCGTCGGCCGCTAAAAGCATCTCGGAAAACCGCAGCACCCTCGTAACTTGGTCAGTGGAATTCAAGTTTGTCGTCCCGAAGTCTCTCTCTTTCCCTCTGTTTCCCTTTCGGGGAATTCGTCAAAAGGAAGTAAGGAAGAAAATCACGCGAGTCCGTGATGCGTTCTTATGATTCTTAGTATGTGTGTGTCGAATACATCCGCGCGGACGTCCCAAATCCTACTTCGTTGTCGATCGTGCTGAGTAGTCGCCGGTACTTGGCAAGTGCGAAAAGCGGTGAGAGAGTATCAGAGTCATATCGTAAAAGCACCTTGGCCACGATCGGCCGCGTTGAACACGCGCCACGTGCAGGCGTGTCCCGAAATGTCGCGGAGCACGAATCTTGGAGGACACAGCGCCTGCTGTGTTCCCACCTCCTCCCTCATCCGATTCCCCGGCGGAACTCGATCAAAGGGAGACTTAAGGATTCGGGTTGCGCGTGTAGCGGCATCGACGCCCGCCGTAATTGCTCTTCGGGTCCTCTCTCTCTCCCTCTCTGCCTCTGACGGAATCTAATTACGGTGTCTCAAAGAAATGCACGCGTCGCGCTACCGGGCGACAGCTGCATTCTCTTCCCAATTTCTTCGCATCGCTTTGAGCTCTTTACTAAAGACCAATTAAACGGCCAGGCGTCTTTGAGGCCCGACGCGATGACAGGTGCGTCCTGTTGTCAATCAAACGTCCCGTCGTCGTCGCCATGACTGTCTAATTAAGTAGGCGGTGGCTCAATCTTATACCGCGAATTCCATGACTACTTTATTTCGACTTTCGCGCGTAGCCGCGCACACGCTCGCTTCGTGTAACTAAAAAAAGGTTCGTTCCGCGGCCCTCTCTCGTAAGTTCGCTCGTTCGTTACGGCGCACCAACGAAAGATTAATTTCGGCTGAGATTGCGCGCGGATGAGGGCCGCCACCGGCAGTGTCATCTCCACTGGATACTTTCCAATTACGAGGACGGAAAGTTCGCAACTCCGTTGATTCGTCGGCTCAATCTCCGTCGGACGGTTCCCCCGTCGAATTAGGACGCGTACGCTCCTGATTAAAAGGTTAAAATTCGTTTCGCTTTGCCGCGTTTCGCTTCCTCGCGCTGCTTTGCAACCCGTGTTGCTTTCTCCAGCCGTGACGAGGAGGAGAGAGAGAGAGAAAGAGGGACGTCTCAATTATTTTTCCTCCCCACGGGCTTTCTCTCGGGATCTTTTCTGGCCGTCTGATAAGTGCATTAGTTGAACCCGGAAATTGGCCGACACCCCGTGGCGTGTGCGCGCATTAACCCCACCATTTGGTTCCCGTCGTTTCAAACGCGAGAGACCGACGGCGTGAAAAAAGAAAAATCCGCGTGTGTAAGGGAGGGAGAGAGAGAGAGAGAGAGAGAGAGAGAGAGAGAGAGAGAGAGAGAG